TGCTCCAGTCCCCTCATCATCCTCATAGCCCTCCGCTGGACTCTCTCCAGTAGCTCTTCATTTTTCTTGAACTGGGGAGCCCAGAACTGGACACAGCACTGCAGATGAGGCCTCACTAGGGCACTATAGAGGGGAAGGAGAACCTCCCTCGACCTGCTGGTTGAGGTTTTGGGGAGTGTCACATTTCTGGGGTTTAGGGTTTTTGGTGTTTCCAGCATGAAGTCAGAGACTCTCACGTAAGCACGTGATTCCAGGAGCTGGGGCTTTAACAAAGCTGCACAGCGCAGGGCCTGCGTTGGCAGTTCCGGCAGATCCCTGGGTAATGCATCTGACAGTGAGAGCACGTTATCTTTTGATCTTGGGATCATGAGAGCACTTGCTCTTTGCAAATTCCTTCCACAGCTCAAGCAGGAGGAGCAGCACAGTGTGGCAGCAAGCGCGGGAGGATTTGGGTTAGCCAAATGCCTTTGTAATGTTCCTGCTCTTGTGATACTTGTCTGAGGGCTCTTGGGTGATGCACTGTTCTCCGGGTGGGATTCGGTGTTCTGACACAGCAGAAGAACCTACCTGGTGGCCAGAGGCAATCTGCTGTGTGCATTCTGTGCCTGAGCGCGTGTCGCAGCTCTGCTTGGAGTTAGGGCACCGGTGTGGTGTCGATCTCTCTTCTCCATCTGGCTGTCTAGTTTCTCCACGCTTGTAGGAGCTTGAACATCCCTGAGGTCTCCGTTGCTGTCAGACTGATTCGGGCTTGGCCGACAGATTCAGGGGTCCTTGGTGGGGGTGGGAACGTGCCTCTGTGTGTGTGGAGTATGTGACTGAGCCACCTTCCTTCCTTAGGAAACCCTAATTTAAAAAAAATGCTTTAAATGACTTCCCTTTCTCTAGTTCTTGGTGAATACATCAACATTCCCGCAGTACAGGTTGTGAGACGATTTCAGCTTTGAGCCTGTTTGACCTAAGGGCCCCTTTAGCCCAGGATTTCTGCCCCTGTCTTGCATTAAGCCACTTCAGTGTGTGTCCAAAACCCTCTCCCGTTTGTGGCCTCCACGTGGTGGGCGAGCGTGTCTGTTTGATGCTGATACAAGATCGCTGATGCTTTTCCCCACGATGTGATACACAGGCTGAAGTCATTTTTATTTTGCTGAAACCCACAGTTTCTGCCATGGGAAAGACTATTTTTGTGGGCGCTATTATGTGCTTTGAATGAGCTGATTGCAGCAAAGGGAGATTAGCTAATTACTCCGGGGTCTTTCTTCCGTTGGTGCATGGGAAAGCTTCACGGCTGACGTCCGTACGCGCCGGCCAGAACGCCATGGGAGAGCGGTCCCACCACCCCACGCCTGAGCATCCTGAGCCACCCCACCGATTTCAAATGACTCGGAACTCCTGAGCGCGTTTGGACCCATGCCCCTCTTCTTTGAGGGGTCCCGCGCTGTGCTTGGTGCCGTAAATAGCATCGGCGCTCCATGACATGAGATGGCTCCCGCCTGCCAGCCCGGGCATGCCAGCCAGCTGGGGGCATGAAAGCCACCAAAAGAAAAACCTGGAGGGGAATTTAGTTGTGCTTGTTTCAGTGGGTGTTTATCCCGTAACGACAGCTCGATCCAGCAAGTCCCACGGGGCGTCCGAAGGGCGGTGAAGGCTCGCGTCGTCACTGCGGAAGTCAGTGCCGGTGTGGGAACCGGCTGGGGCAATTTGAGCTGGGAACCGTCAAGAAGGGCTCCGCTTCACCCTGTGCCGTTGGGCCCGGGTTGAAGCCATCCCTGGTCCCTACAGCTGGCTGAAACACTTCGAAACGCCCATTTTTGGTGCCATTTTTAGCCCTGGGTATTTCAGCCGCCTCTGTGAACCTTAGTCCCTTCTTATGCTAGCGAGGCCCCAAGCATCTCCTCTGGGGAGAGATAAGCCCTGGGTGCTGTCATCTCTGCCCCAAGGCTGCTGATTCCCAGC